GGGTGTGTCTGGGTAAGCGTCGCCCCCGAGCTGGGAATTCGGGACCATCTACCCCGATTCAGCTCTGGTTCCTGCAGAGTCCCCTGGCTTCTCCCAGTCCTGGGTGCTCTCCTGGAGAGCATGGGCCTGGGGTGACAGTGCCGAAGGGCCTTTTCCCTGACACACAGCCGGAGTTGACAGGGTGCCGGGGTCCGCACGGCCGGGGCTGCGGCTAGGCCAGGGCCAGGCAGGACTACAGCTGGGTGGGAGCGCCCCTGGGCTGGCAGCGCTGCTCACAGAATTATTTGGGTCCTGGAGTAAGTGTGCCACACTCAGCCCTTCCTGGGACCCGTGTGGCAGGCAGGCAGGAGGGTCACGGCAGCTGAGGTCCCGAGGGGACTGAGGTCACCAGGGCCCCTGGGCTGCAGAAGCTGCCCCTTCACACACGGGGCCTCCCACGTTTGGCTCTTTCCCAGGCCTGCCATGGCCCACGCTGTTCTTGCTGTTTACCCTGGGTTTGTAACAGCCCCCACCACCCCACTGCAAGAATGTTGTGGTTTAGGTTTCCATTTTGTAAACAGAGGACAACGTGAACATTTTATTTGTCTTTTGGAACTGAACACCAAGGCGGGCTCTGTGGGAGTTGGGCTTGGGGTGCCCTTTTAAGGTGTGGGCTGGTGTGGGGACTGCCCCCCCCCCATAGACCCTGGCGCCCCTGTGCTCATGCAGCTTCTCCCGCAGCACCCTGGACCTGCTGGACTGGAACAGCCTCATCGACAGCAGGACCGAGCTCTCCAAGCACCTGGTGGTTCCTAACATGCAGGTGGCACCCCTCGCCCCTGAGCCCTGTCTCATCGGGGTGCAGGGCTGAGAAGGGAATGTTCCCTGTCCCTTACCCTGGGGCCACAGCTGGCAGGGAGCACTGTCCTTCCTGGCCGCACAGCACCCTATGGTCCGGGGGAAGAGGACAGATCCCCCCCCGAGTGCCCCACAGAGGGGCACAGAGACCCATGTCATCTACCCGTGCATGCTGGGCCATCCCAAACCTCGGTGGCCTGAAATGGCAGTAATCCTATTATCGCTGGCATGGTTCGGGACTGCCGGGGCCCAGCTGGTGGTGGTAGCTCTGGTTCCCTTGCGGTTGTTCTTGGAGGGTGGCGGGGCCTAGGGTCATTGTGCAGGGGCCCTGCTCACACAGCCGGCGGGTGGTGCTGGCTGTGGGGCAGGGCTTCCTCACCATGCGGTGCCTGGGTTCCCAGGGTGAGTGTCGTGCCCACCCCACCCAAGCCAGGCGGAAGCATCTTTTCCAGCCTAGCCTCACGTGTCCCATAGCGTCACCTGGGCCCAGTTGTGTGTGTGAAAAGCAAATCGCCAGGCCAGCCTGTGTTCAAGGGGAGAGGAATGAGCCCCCCTCCCCGCTGCCCCTCTTGCCTGTGGGAGGTGCCAGGACTCTGCACCCTGTTTGAAAACCCCCCTCAGGCTGGGCTGTAAAGCAGCAGCAGAAGCACCTTGGGAAAACATCCCGCCAACCGTGCCTTCCACAAGCATCTGGCCCCAGTGGACTGAGGGCCCATCCCCCAACTGAGACACAGGGCCAGCAGAGGGGCAAGCTTAAGGCCCCTCCAGGAGTGCCCTGGGCAGGTGTTAGTGGGCATGTGGCGCTAGCATGGTCATGGGCATGGGGCCCGGTGCTGTACGAGCCTTCAGGGGAAGGCCACTGTCTGGGGATGGTGCCTCTGTCCCCACTGTGAGCTGTCCCCACCTCCCTGTAGCTGCAGTTCTTCCTCCGAGCCCTCTCCTTGCTGGGAGCTGAGTCCTGGGTGATTGGATGGGTCAAGGGTTACTTCCTTACCATTGTCTGGGGGCAGGAGGGGGATGTCCTGCGAGGGTCCTGGGGAGGCTGTGGGAGCAGACACCTCGGGTGCAGGCCTGACCTGGGGCGGCTAGCCCTGTGAGTCAGAGGGTGGTGGCTGGCAGTGACGTTCTGGGGTACCATGTGGCCTCGGGGCAGGGCACTGATCTTTACTAAAAAACAGGGAAGGGGGGCGGTGGGGATGAGGTGGCCTTGCTGGTCCTGGGGACCATGCCCTGGGTGTTGGTGGGCCCTGCACACGGGGCAGGGGGCTGCCCTTTGGGCAGGTAGGGTCTTGAAGCCCGGCTGCAGCCTGACCACACGCCGCCCCAGACAGGACAGCTGGAGCCTCTGCTGTCACGGTTTACTGAGGAGGAAGAGCTGCAGATGACGAGGATGCTGCAGAGGATGGACATCCTGGCCAAGGTCGAGGACCCTGAGCGTGCCCAGAGAGGGGGGTGCCTGGCTTACCGGACCCCAGTCGAACCCCCCGTCCCCCCCTGCACCTCTTAGAAAGCTGCCGAGATGGGCGTGCGGCTGATGGTGGACGCCGAGCAGACGTACTTCCAGCCGGCCATCAGCCGCCTGACGCTGGAAATGCAGCGCAAGTTCAACGTGGAGAAGCCGCTCATATTCAACACGTACCAGTGCTACCTCAAGGTACTGGCCCTGCCTGCTGCCTGCTGCCGGCCTCCCCCGAGGCCTGCTGGTGCTGGGGAAGAGGCCTCGAGCAGGAAGAAAGGCCCAGGACCCTGTCACCAGCTGTGTGCCGGCCCCTTCTGTGGGCCTCCGGTCCCAGATGGGGTGTAGAAGGGGTAGGAGGGAGGCGGGGGGGCCTTTGTACAGTCCGCTCCATGTGCTGTAATCCCCGCATGCCGAAGGCCTCACAAGTCACGGGTTTTTCCTGCCACTTTTTAATTCGGGTCCCTCTGAGGATCCGATGAATGCACTGGTACCCCCCCCCCACCCCCAAAGACTTGCTCAGAATTTGGCATGTACCTCAGGGAGCCTGGGGTCCTTCAGGGTGGGATCGGCGAGCACAGACCTGGGCTGGGCTGTTCTGGGATCAGGCAGGTATTTGGAGGACACGGCGTGGGATCCGGGCCGATGTCCCGAGCAAGCAGGACCCCTGTCCCCCAGTCAGCCTGAGGAGACCCTGGAGCCTGCCGTGGCTGCTGGCACCTAGACCGGCCCCTGGCAGGTTGTCCCCAGGCCACACAGAGGAATCCTTGTTTCTTAGAGACAGGTCAACAGGCCTTCCTTACCTGTGCTTGTCTCTCAGCCCCCCCTAAGCCCCTGCAGGCTAGGCAGCTCCTGCTGGCCCTGGGGTCTCACGGTGACTGTACCCTGGGGGCACCTGGGTCTTAGGGGACACAGGCCAGGGGGGGCATCATCCTGGTCATCGTCAACTTGTGGCCCTGGTCCCACAGGACGCCTATGACAACGTCACCCTGGACGTGGAGCTGGCTCGCCGTGAAGGCTGGTGCTTTGGGGCCAAGCTAGTGCGTGGTGCCTACATGGCCCAGGAACGTACCCGTGCCGCAGAGATCGGCTACGAGGACCCCATCAACCCTACGTATGAGGCCACCAATGCCATGTACCACAGGTGCGCCAGCCCTCCTGGTTCCTCAGGGCTTCGTGGCTTCCTGGGCAGGGCTGCTGGAACCCACCCCATGTGACCCCCATCTGAAGACGGGGCAGGCCTGTGAGTCAGAAGCCTCCATAGGACCAACGGTATGCTTGAGGCCGGAACCGATGATCTCCTCTGCTTTTGGTCTACCCTTTCCCAGAACTATGAAGGTGCATTTTTAGTACGGAAAAGTCTACTGAATAAATCTAAACTGGCCCAGGTCCCCCACCAGCTCCCGTGCACACCCAGGACCAGGGAGATGCCTCGAGCAGCCCTCTTGTCTTTCGTGGTACAGAGTTGTCAGCTGTTGTGCACCTGCTTCTGGTCTGTTGGCCTTGCTGACGCTCGTGCAGCAGGACATGCAGAGCCCGTGCTTTCTCTCCAGGAGGCCGTGGGTGTCTGCCCGCTCTGGCTCCTGCCCCCTACCGGCAGCACCCTGCTGCTTTCCTAGAGCTCCCCGGTGTGCCAGGTGTGTACTCACGCCAGCTCTGGCATCATGCATCCCTTGTGCCCTTGCTTCTCCACGTGACACCCATCTGGATTCTCCTGTGTCACGTGCAGGCCCGAGGCGTGAACCCAACAGCCAGCAGGGTGCCCATCTCTGTGAGCTCTGGGTGGTTCGCCGTCAGGTCATTCTAGCAGTGGCTCGGCACCTACCTTGCCCCCATGCACTCACGGGCAAGGACACAGTTGTGGCACGTTCCTGGCCGTGGAGTTGCTGGGTCCGAGGACATACACCATCACTGCCAAACGGTAGCATCCTCACACCGCCCCCCAGGCCTTTCACTTCCTTGGGGACCGCTTCCCAGAAGCGAAGCCGCACCAGTCACGGGTGCCTGGGGCACTGGGACTTGCCCCAGCTAGTCCCCTGCCGCACATCTAGCCCAGGAGCTGCTGTTTGCTTTCCTGCCCAAGAGGTGCTGAGGAGTGACAGGTGTAGCCCTGGTCCCACCGCTGTGGCCATGCTTGGGAGGAATGGGCCTGCTGGATGGCCCTGGGCCTGCCTGTGGCCTCTGCAGGTGGGGGCTCATGTGGCACTCCCCTCAGGTGCCTCAACTATGTCCTGGAGGAGCTGAAGCACAACAGCAAAGCCAAAGTGATGGTGGCCTCCCACAATGAAGACACGGTTCACTTCACGCTGCGCAGGTAGGCACCCCCTCTAGCAGTCTGGTGCTCCCCAGCCGGGGAGGGGCTCGGGATGAGTGCCGTGGAAGCACGTGCCGCGACCGGCCAGACGCGGTGGTATTCGCAGGGTAACGTCTGTGCGGCGACCTGGAGCGGCAGCTTTGGTGTCCTGCGGGCCCCTGCCTCCCAGGCCCGAGTGGCCTTGGCGCTGCAGTAGAAAAGGCTGCCGGCAGTTACTTTGGTTTTTAAAATTAGTACCCGCTTTACTGAAGTTGTGAATTCGAAAACCAGGCTTCATTAGGTGATTTAAATAGCTTACTGCCATGCCCAAGTGCAGCTTGTAACGTGGGCCACCCTCAGGAGGTGGCTGGCACGTCACCTCACTCATAAAGAATTTCTTTCAATGCTTTAAACTGCATTTAGAATTTAATATAGTCTGTTTTCTCTTTAAATGCCTGCCCTGTGGAGCAAAACTTTGGTAGAATCCAGACAAGTCAGATAGAGGAATAAGGTGAGGTAAATTCACGAATACCCCAGTGTCATCCCCCTGTTGTGTTTTCTGTCCTAACCCAGGCAGCACCATGTGGGGGCAATTCTGTCTACCCCGGTTGCCACCTTCCTGGGCTTGAGGCCCCCAGCATAGCGGCAGCGGCCTTCCCGGCCCTTGCTTCTCCCAGGAGCAGAGCAGGGTGCTCAAGGCTTGGGGCTGAGCCAGGCTTCGGGAAGGGGCGATGAAGGAGCAGCTGGGGCAGGTTGCAGCCGGAGCGGGGCGCAGCCAGGCTGGGTGCCTTCAGGGTGCCTCCTGATGAGCTGACACTGGTCGCTCCACACTCGTTCGGGGACGCGGCACTTACTCTCCACTTGTGACCACACAGCTTTTTCACAGCCTGAAACTACAGCTGACAAGCATGATTTCTAATGCACAGTGGCCACGGCCATCAGGGTGAGGACAGGAACGCCGAGGCCACCAGTGCCACCCGGGCCGAATGCAGACTGTGGCGAGGCTCCCTTGCAAGAGTTCCTGCCAGGGTGGTGTGGCTGTTTCCCTGGGACAGCCGGGGGGCCGAGTGGCGTCCCAGCTGGACAGGACTGTTCTGTCTTCCTCCCTCCATCCCTAGGGACTTCCCAGGTGCTCATTTCCTGCCTCGGATGCCCCGTCCTTGTCACCGGATGTCACAGGGTCAGGAGCACCTTCTGTGTTCAGTGCAGAAACAAAAAAATTAGTTGTAGCCTGACTTTTAAAACAGATACCTGATTAAGTTGCAAATCCTAAAACCTGGTTTTCCCTTAGACTTAAAAATACTACTCTGTGATGGAGATTTGATCAAAGCTTGAACCCCTCAGGCACCAGGGTCCTCCACTACAACTAGACAATGTACACCAAGAGCCTCCCCTGGCAGGGCAGCTGGGAAGCTGCGCCCCTGCACAGTGCAGGCCCCCGTGGGGGTCAGCGGTGTGGACGGTGCCCCCTTCCCGGGTCTCAGTTACGAACTCAGCAGCTTCGGTGGGCCGCCAGCGGGGATCACAGGTAGTCCACTCAGACACCAGTCACGCGGAGGGCAGTGCAACTAAGTCAGAACCTGCCCTCAGAAGGGCTTCCTTTCTCCTGTCTTCTGAACCTTCCCACCAAGAGCTGTGTATCTTCACCGTCTTAGCAGGGGCGGCCCCCAGCCCTGGACACCGCTTTCCCCCGGCTCGAGTGCCAGCCGAGCGCTCTCATCGCCCCCAGGGGCCGTGCCAGGCTCCCAAGTACCACTCCACAGATGTCACGGCGAAGGCTCAGCCTGCACAGCTCCCTGCTCCTGCTCGGGGGGCCAGGGAGCCCGCAGCGGCTGGGGCTCGCCTTCCCGGAGGAAGCAGCCCAGGTCTCTAATGCCACACCAGGGATCTCAGTCTGATAGCCTGTGTCAGCTTTGGCCGAGTGGCAAACCAGCTCACAACTCAGAGACCTGAACTGCAGTATATTCTATGGGTTTGTCTTGCATCTGTGGTCAGCTAAAGCCTGACTGGCCCTAAATGGCTTCATTCATTGGCAGGGGCGGCAAAGGGGACCGCATCACATGTCCAATTTCCGATAGGCCGGGCTTTGCCCTGGAGAAGCCCTGGAGAGGGCAAGCCTCTGCCCACATCATATTTGCTCTTGTCCTCATGGCCAAAGAAGTCCGGAGGCCTAGCCCAGATGGCAGGTGGAGGGCCCCATGTGCTGGACAAAGTTGCAGTCACAGGGCAGAGGGTGTGGAAAGTGGTCAGCAGCGGTCATTGTGGGAGCCACTGGAATGTCCCACCACCAGAGGTCAGGAGGACAGCAGTAGTGTGGCAGCCCTGCTCTAATAGGGTTCATGTTCTAGCGGGGGACAGAGATACTGGAGACCAGATCAACATGGTAGAGATTGTGGCCTGCTTTAGACTGTGTGGCCCCCACATTGGAGCCAGACTCTGAGGGAAGGAGGGAAAGGGCCAGTGGGATGACCCTCATGCCAGGGCGAGGTGTCCTCAATGCTCTGAGAGCCAGGGGTGCACACTCCTAGGCCGGCAGCCTGCGTGGGGATGAGGACTCAGGCTGAACATGCCTGGAGGTGGAAGGACAAGGGGAGGTTTCAGAGCGCTGGTGCAGACACGTGGATACAGGAAGCTGGAGGTAAAAATGTGGGAATCCTCAGCCAGTAGACATTTCAAACCCTGGGAATTTTGGTAAGATCCTGTGAGTGGGGAGGTATGAGGACAGGAAAGGACGCCCGACAGAGTTGTGTGCGCCACCCACCCCAACATCTGAGCACTATAGAAATGTTCTATTAGCCACACAAAGAACACCCAAAATATTACCTGTATTCAGTATTTTGGAAAAATGCATTCTTTTTTCCAGTTTGATATGGAATTCAAAATTCCACGTGTGTTCAGTACCTGTAGCCCATCTCAGTGTAGACCAGCTGACTTGTAAAGAATCCATGGCCTCCAGGGGCTGGTGCTGCTCTACGGGGCGGAGCAGCCAGCAAGGGGAGGACAAGAGACCCGGTGGGAGGGAGACATTGGGGATGTGTCCCTGAAGCAGAGGGGCTCAGGAAGGGCCGGGGTGGGGCCCTCTGAGAGCCTCCCCAGGCCACACCTTGGGGCAGGCTTGCCTTGCTGGGCAGGGCACCAGAACAGAGGTAAGGGTAGACAGGAGGGAGGGGAAGGAGGGAACTTGGTGGCCACGGGCTGAGGTGGGAACCAGCAGGGCAGGGGTTTGGGCGGCACAGAGCCTATACCTGTGCCCCAGACAGCAAGGGATGGAGGTTAAATTGTATGCTTGAGAATCTGGGAGTGGCACTGGGGCAGGGGCTCACCTGCCACCTCATCTGTCTATAGGATGGAGGAGCTTGGCCTGTACCCTGCCGATCGCCAGGTATACTTTGGACAGCTACTGGGCATGTGCGACCAGATCAGCTTCCCACTAGGTGAGCCAGGCCTCTGGGGAACAGGGTGGGGGTGTCCAGGGCTGGGACTCACTGCTCCTGCCTGTGTCCAGGCCAGGCCGGGTTTCCTGTGTACAAGTATGTGCCCTATGGCCCTGTGATGGATGTGCTGCCCTACCTATCTCGGCGTGCCCTGGAGAACAGTGGAGTCATGAAGGGCGCCTGGCGGGAGCGGCAGCTGCTGTGGCAGGAGCTCAAGCGGAGGATCCGCACAGGCAGCCTCTTCCACCATCCAGCCTAGCGTTCGTGGGCAACTGGCGTCACCCACCTTCACACTTGACCTCCAGCCCTTCCCAGGGCCCCCAGCCCAATGCCATAGCCGTAGTCCAACCCCAGCCTCACGTGGATTCACCTTTTTATGCCCAAGACTGTGAGACCTGCTGGAAGTGGCCTCCGTGCTCTTGCTCGGGATGTGGGCACGCAGGGGGTGTCTGGTGCCTGCCAGAGCTACTGGGGACTGTCAGGAAGGAGTGCCTTTCCACAGTGAGCACGACCCTTCTCCTGCCTGCTCCCATGAACCTGGACCCCAAGGACCACCCTGTAAGCCAGGGTTTACCCAGCCCACACCCTAACCCCCATAGGTGGGCAGCTGCCGGGCTGGGAAGCTGGCCTGGTCAATAAACCAGTACTGCTGCAGCCCTCAGCTTCATGCCTGCAGTGCTCTCTCGCGCCTTCCCGTGGGATCAGCATCAAAGATGGAGTGGCCCTGATGGCTCTGCCCCTCTGGCACCATGTGTCCCTGGGCCCCGGCCCACCATGGGTGGGGCAGACCCACCCATACCTCCCTTCAGGCTGTATCACAGATTAGGCTACCCGGGGTGCTGGACACTCACACCCCAGGATGACAGCAGGGTCCCTGGGCTCAGACCAGTGCAGGCAGGATGTTCCTAGGGGTGGGCCTGGCGCTTCTCCACCCCAGAGCCAGGGTGCTGCTCTGACAGGAGCAGACTCCTGGCTGCCCACGCACTTCCAGTTTCCCCAGGCGGCCTAGATGTGGTCCTAATGCCTGGGGGCATCTGCTGGTTCCTCTGTAGGCCGTGGAGCTACCAGGTGAGGGCCCTGTCATGGCAGGTGCCACAGAGCTATCACACAAGCCACATGCAGGCTACACTGAGATACCTTTATTTCTCTGGGCCACACAGGCCTTGGGCCTTGGACTGTCTCCCACTTACTTAGGGGGCTGCACCTGCCAAGGAAGGGGCTGACACCAGAACAAGCGTGAAACCTGGGGCATGGCAGAGGTGAGGATGTGCCCAGTGGAGTGAGAAGGTGCTAGGACCTCCAGCTCCACTGTCCCCTGAGGTCTGGAGCGGACAGCCAGCAGAGCAGACCCGCTCTTCCCTTTACCATCATCCTAGCTTCAGACAAAGGTGGGTGGCCAAAGGTGGGTGGCAGGTACTGACCGCCAGGGGTCCACTTGGCCTCTCTGCAGACGGTCGACCTCTCCTGCAGGCAGCTGGGAAGGTGGTGGCCAGGTGTCAGAAGGACAAGTTCCACTCAGCTTCCTGCCACTTGCGGTGACAGAGGGACAGAGCTGTCTCTCAGGTGTGACGGGCAGCGGTTAACTGGCAGAGACCCCAGCTGATCACAGGGCTGTCTTGCCTGCCTGGCAGCCCCTCTGTTGCAGCTTCCTGATGAGTTCCAACAGGTTCATCTGCAGTGTCAGCTCCTGGGATGCAGAAGGGCTGCTGTGAGACCAGAATGACACCGGTCTCTCCTGTCTTGGCAGGAGCCCCGTTTCCCGAGAATGCCAGGCAAGGAACCCGTGGGACTGACTTCCAGTGAATCCTGGCCACAGCTGGCCAGAAAGGGACAGAAGCAGGGACATCACCCTGCACCAAGGCCTGCCGCTGCCCTGGCTCAGCACACAGGGAGGACCAGTGAGGGCCCTGTGAGCAGCAGGCCTGGAGAAAGTGAACGATGCTCCCACAGCCAGCTGGCTCGCCCTCCTGTGGGCGGAGGCAGTGGGACCTGCCTTACTAATTCCTCCCCCCCACGGCCCCCCCTCATGGATAAAACCCCAAAGGGAACTGGGCCTTTGGGAACCAGCATCCCCTGGGCTGTGCCAGGGCAGGACTGAGGCACTGACCTGTGGGTTGGTGGTCACATAGAAGCCAGCAACCCCTGCCTTCTCCAGTGTGCTCTGCTGGTCTGCTACCTTCCGGTCCAGCTCTAGGACAATCTTCTGGTCCATTGCCCGCTGCTCCTCACGGATCCGGTGCTCCACAGCCTGCACGGGGAGGGCGGCTCAGGGCTCAGCCCCCTGCCCATCACACACTGCCTCACACACATCGGTGGGCTGCCACTTCCTCCAGCCTGTTCCCCATTCCAAGATCACTGACGGTGCCCTTACTGCACCCAGACTGCTCCCTTCTCTGCCACACTGAGCCCTGCAGAAAGCCTCAGCTGCCCCACGGGGATGCTCTCCCATCTGGACCTCCAGCCAGGTGTCCTCCCTTTGCTGTCCAGGCCTTGCCCAGAAAGGACTGCTTGGGACCACATGAGCTGGCCAGATGCCAGGTCTACTTCTGTTTACTATCAAGTTGCCAACCGTCTCTGGGCCTTTGTATATATTCCCTCCCCCTGGAGCTGCCAGCTGATCCCAGCTAGGCACCTCTTCCTTGTGCACCCTGGCCCTGGGCTGCTTGGGACCCTGCAGAAGTCTTTCCATGCACCCCCCACCACCCATGGCTTCTTGGTTACATACGGGTCTCCTGGTGGTCCTGAGCATCCTGGGAACAGGATGGACCTCTGCTGGCTGGTCCCCTCATCCCACCATTGCCCTGAACAGGCCCAGCCCTCTGAGGAGCTACAGTCCTGGGAAGCAAGGGGGGGGGGCAGGGGAGTCACACACTCTCCACTTGGTCCTGCCACATCCCAACTGCCAGTAAAGAGCCACATTTGGGGACTCTTCAGGCTTCCAATGACCCACCCAAGCTGAGGCCCAAAGCGCCCTAAGCCCTCTTCACCGCAGCCTAGTCAGCAGAGCCCAAGTGGTACCCACCCAGCCCACACCCTCACCTCCAGCTCACGCTGCTGAGCTGCCTGGAGCACAGGCAAGTTGTGGGGTCGGCAGGCCTGCTGGGCTTCCTGGTGCTTCTGTCGCAGCGCCTGCCTGAGCACTAGAAGAGGAGACCAGAGAAGTCTAGTAGGTGGTGATGGGCGAGATGGAGGGGGGCAGGGAACACTTCTTGCCTTGGCACCTATCCTGGCTGTCCCACCATGGGGCAGCCAGGCCAAGGGGCAGACACGAAGCCCTGCCTGATGACCCAGCCCACCTGAAGCCCTGCATTAGAAGCTGGGTGAGGTTCTAGGGGATGTCTAGTGCCCTAGCTCACTCGATCTTGCCCATACCCAGGGCAGAGCCTTTCTCCAGCAGCGAGGATCTAGGGGACTCTGGAGGGTACAAGGCAACATGGGAGGGTGAGACAGGACAGGCTGGCATGGGGGGTGGGGCCACAGCTGCAGCCAGTGCTCAGAAGACCAAGAAGAGTAGGAGACTGCAGTCTGGAGGCTTCTGGGCTTGGATGGCCACAGGCCAGTAGTCCTGGGTGTGAGCTGCCCATCACCCATGGGGTGTTCACTGAGATGTCCAGGACACCACCCAGGCAACCTCCGGAAAAGGAGGGCAGCAAGGAGAGGAGTCATTGTGCCCAAGCATGGCATGGCCTCTACTCATGGAGGCGTGGTAGTGTCAGTCCCTCAGTGTTGCCCTTCAGGGTGGGCAGAGCTGTCCCATCTCATTCCTAGTGCCTTGAGGGAGTAGGGCAGGTACAAACTCTGGGAGACCCAAGGATGGGATGAGCCATTAGAGGCCCTGTGCTGGGGAATCTGTGTTGCTTGGAGAGGGGCTCACCAAGACCACTGAGGACAGCTCCCACGGTCATCGTTAAATCACACCATAAATATAAGAAAAACCGTCCACTCTATTAGGACTGATCAGAGAAGAAAGATACCATGGAATGAAAAGAAACCAATTACAAAATAGAATAAACTACACAGCCTAGGGGCATCTGGGTGGCTCAGTCAGTTAAGCATCCAACTCTTGATTTTGGCTCAGTTCATGATCTCAGGGTCGACAGTTCGAGCCCTGGGTTGGGCTCTGCACTGGGCATGGAGCCTGCTTAAGATGCTCTCTCTCCTCTGCACCTCCCACCCCCGCTTTTTCTCTCTCAAAACAACGGCCAAAACCAAAACCCAACAACAGAATCCAAACTACGTGACCCAAATCCTAGACCGGTATCAAGTGGCCAGATGTCTCCTATAAGGAAACACAAACAAAACGCTATGTCTTCGCCAAGGGTTTGGCACCTCCTGTGCCCAGAAACTTCCCAATCTCCTGTTTCTTGGCATCCTGTGCATCCCATCAGCATCCCACCAGGATGAACCTTCAACAACGGCATTTATCACCTTAAATGAGTTTAAAACCAAGATGCACACTTAAGACATCTCAGGGGGTCTTCTGAGACAGGGCAAGCAAGATGCTCCCTGGTTAATGTTTATAAGGAGAGGACATATCCCTGCCTTATCTGTTTCCTCCCATCCCACCTGGGATATGGCATCTCCTTTACTCCGTTTATCAAACATTGCTGCAAATCCCAAATTCCACTGGGTGGGCAACCATAGGTGAGAAGAGAGCTGTGGCCACTGCCCAGGCAGATGGGGCCTGGCTTTAGCAATGACTAAGGAAAGCAACAGGAGCCAATCGCTACCACCTGCTCAGTCAAGGGGGAAGGAAAAGCAGAGAGCCAAAGCCACAGGGTGCTCACCCACTGCTGGTGGCATTAAAACCCGCCCAAAACTTCCAAAGAACAAGTAGCAAAGTGTCTAGAGGGTTATCAAAAACGACTCACTAAAAGGAGCCAGGATTTTGTGGAAGAATTGCTGTCCACCTTCCACTTTTATTAATCTGAGTGCTTATTCACTCTCTGAACTAGTAACCTCTGTGGAGATAAACATAGATCACCCAAAGGAGAACAGGAATTACTTACTGACAGCAAAGATTAAGTGGCCACCACTGCCTGCATTTGGCAGAGACTCAAGCACAGGCAGGAGAGGTGGGAAAGCTTTATGGTGGCCAGAGGGGAAGGTTCATCCTGATGGGTGGCTCCTGCAGAAGCTGGAGGTGAGCTGAGGCAGGGAAAGAATGAGAAAACACCTTCCTGTGCCAGAAAGCAGAGAAGTGCTCCAAGAATGATGGGGACACATCAAAAGTACAGGGGAGCCAGCCTCAGGGCTCTCCCACCGACCAAATGTGGCACAATTTGAGCATTACAAAGAATAATGAGCTATGTACCTTGGATTTGTGACCGTATGCATCTTACACCTCACAGGGATGTTTGCAAAGACAGTCACTCCAACAATGGGGAAAAGGTAATACCAATTCCATAAAAGTTCTTCTAAAAAATGAAAGAGAACAGTAACCCATGCATTCTATGAAGCCACCCTTACCCTAATACCCCATCCAAAGATGTTATAAGAAACTACAACGTCGGGATCCCTGGGTGGCGCAGTGGTTTGGCGCCTGCCTTTGGCCCAGGGCGCGATTCTGGAGACCCGGGATCGAATCCCACATCGGGCTTCCAGTGCATGGAGCCTGCTTCTCCCTCTGCCTGTGTCTCTGCCTCTCTCTCTCTCTGTGACTATCATAAATAAATAAAAATTAAAAAAAAAAAAAAAAGAAACTACAATGTCCATTATGAACATAGAGGCAAAGATTCTTCACAAGATTTTAGCAAATCAAATCCAACACAAGCAAAAAGGGTAATACATCCTGACCAAATGGGATTTATCCCAGGAATGCGGTTTATCCCAGGAATGAAAGAAATGAGTGTAACTCACTGTAGTGACCAAAAAGCCACGTGATCATCTCCATAGATGCAGAAAAAGGGATTCAACACAACCCCATGTCCACTCCTGAGACACACTCTAGTTTTGGCCACAAAAGCTTAAGCTGCCTATCATCATGCCTAGACCTGCTGTCCAGTCAGTTTACAGGGAACACAGAGGGTGGAGAGACGGTTCCACGACAGCAGGAGGAAGCAACCCGACAGGTCCAGAAGGGGGACATCCTACAGGTAGAACCCTTCACAAAGTCAATACCAGGGTACATGGGGCTATTTCCCAGAAGCAGAAGAGGCCAAAGTAACCAACCGCAATGCATAAACCCAGGCCGGCCTCATAAAGCCACGGTTGGCAACCGGCTGGATAATGCGACTGTGGACTGAAGCTCAGAAGACCCCCTGAGATGAGTAAGTTTCCAGGACGCCTCTGTTGCGCTCACGCTGGAGCCTTCTTGCTTTGGAGCATGGTTCTCAGTCCCGAGCCGGGGCTGACCCCCAAGGATGTCTGGGGACGTTTGTCACTGTGGGAACGTACCACCATCCTCTCGCGGACGGGAGCCAGGGATGCTGCTCAACATCTTGCAACACACAACAACATACTGTCTTACCATTAAGACTTGTTCAAGCCACAAAAGGCAGCGCTGCGCTGAAAACCCCAGGCTAGAGGGACGCTGAAGACTCCCGGTGAAGCCCTTGGTGTTGTTTATGTTCAGGGGTGTCAAGAGCTTTGGCAAAATGTTGATTCCTGAATCTAGCTGGAGAGGATACCCTAACATTACCCTGTACTAAATGTTTTTTTTTTCTTAATAAGTAAGCTGGGGAAAAACAACAAAGGTGGGAAAACGTGATGGGGCAGAGCTGCGCAGCATACCTTGCAGGGCTCCCCGAGACCCCTCAGTGGGGGCGCCTGCGAGGGGCCGCGGCTCACGAGGCTTCGGCTAAAGTGAGGACGTTTCCGGGTCCCCAGGGTGGCAGCGGGCATCCTGCAGGGGGCTCTACGCGCTCTCTGTGCGGGTGGCGTGCGCTCCGCGCTGCAGGAGGGCGTCTGACCGTCAGGGCTCCAGCCGTACCGCCGACCGCCCCCCGGGGCCTGCCGGGGACTGAGCCGGCGCGCGGGCAAGTCCCGGCACCCGGCGGGGGGCGGCCCGGAGGGACTGTGCGGCTGAAAAGGCTGAACTGCCGACGCCTCCGTCACCACCAGAGCGCTAGCAGTCGTCTCCTGACCCTGACCTGGTCACGTTTCGGGGCGCCACCGGGGCGACCCCCAGGGAGGGAGGCTCGGCCTGGCGCGGAGGCCGAGGGGCGGGGGGAGGGGGCGCACCTCGGTGCTCGTTCTGCAGCCGCAGGCGCTGGTTGTACAGGCTCTTCTCGGTGAGGTGCTGGATCTCCAGCAGCCCCTGCACGATCTCGAACACGGTCCCGTCCAGGAGCGCCAGGGCCAGGTCGCTGAGCGTCGTGTAGGACAGGCGCTGCTGGAACGAGCTGCGGGCAGAGGGGCGGTGAGCGCGGGCGGGGCCCGGGGCCGCCTCCGCCGCCCGCCCCGCGCCGCCCCGCCCCGCGGCCGCGCACCTGGGCAGCTCTTTCACTAGGCTCTGCAGCGCGGACAGCAGCTGGTAGTGCCGCTCCTGCTGCCGGGCCCCATCCACAGCCTCGTCCAAGGCGCCTGGGTAGCGCTCCATGGCGCCCGAACCCGGCCAGCCGCGGCCAGGGCGACGCGCGTCCCCTGCGTCCGTCCCGAGGGCGGCGCGCCCCGCCCCTTTTACGACAGCCACGTCCGGCGCTGCCCCCTTTTACGACAGTTAGGCGCGGCGCGGCCCGCCCCCTGCGCCCTGCGCCCGCCGGCACGAGGCTGGCTCCGCCCCTCCGCGGCGGTGCGGGGCGGGGTCCCTCTCGGTCGCCGCCTCTTGCCGCGCCCTTTTCCCCCACGCGACTTCAGAGGCGTCACCGCGCAGCCTCCATATCGCGAGATTTCAGAGAAGCGCGCTCTGCCGCCCTGGCCGGCTCGGAGCGCGGCCCCGCCCCCCGGCCGCGTCCCGAGGTGGGCGCGGGGGTGCGGGGGCTCGCGTTGGTGTCGGCTGCTGGCGACCGGGCGCTCCGTGGTGCTCGTACCCAGGGCAGCCTTGCAGAGTGGAAGTCGGTTGTGCGGACTCTGCACAGATCCTGCATCCCTGCACCGCGGCCCCTCTGTTCCCCACCACCGAGCATGACAGTGACCGGGTTGGTTGGGCAGAGAGGCTGCCTGGTGTCCAGCGAATGGATCGTTCCGTCCCCTCAGTGCCTGGAGTCCCCCTCTGCCGATGTCACCCTTGGCCGCGCCTTCACCGTGGACACACATCTCTCTTTTTCTCTCTCTCTCTTCCTACTCAATACAGGTCTGTCCACACACCTGTTTCCCCAAGCTGGTCACCAGTTTTCCAGTCCTGTTCCTCCCAAGTCCCTGACCGTCCCGCCAGGCCATTGGCCATAGCCCACCCCTGGCAATGGCACATCTGGTCATTTCTACTTTCAAGCAAAGTGCACCACACCCGCAGGTGCACGGCTGGAAGTCCTGCCCCCTGGAAGGGACTCCCTGCACCACTGTCCTCCGAGGATGCTACGGGAGAGGGGCCCTAATGCTGTTGCTATCCATTTCCTGAAGATCATTCAGAGCCACCTGTAAACCAGGCCCCCATCATCAGCATAGGAAACAACCTGCGTAGGCCATAGGTGCAGGCTGGGAGAGAAGGCAGTGTAGCAGGAGTGGGGACCATGGGCATTTGGGCCACTTCTTCATGTAACATACGTGTGTTTAAGGCCTGCTCGGGCCCAATGACACCTGTACACTTCCACTGGATGGTGAAGTGCTGCTGTGCATACCCAGTGTTATGGCTTGGTGGATCAGATAGCATCCAGTTCATGAGGGGTAGCTTGGGTGGCATGGTAACTTGATGGCCATACTCAAGTGCTCAGTCTCTATGAAGATCCAATAGCAGGCCAAGAGCTAGTTCTCAAAAGGAGTGTAATTGTCTGCGGATGATGGCAGGCCTTACTCCCAAATCCTGAGGGCTGCACTGCAGTTCACCAAGACGGGCCTACTGAAGGCTGCCGACAGCACTCTCTCTCTTTTTTTTTAAATAAATTAATTTATTATTGGTGTTCAATTTACCAACATACAGAATAACACCCAGTGCTCATCCCGTCAAGTGTCCCCCTCAGTGCCTGTCACCCACTCACCCCCACCCCCCCTCCTCCCCTCCCACCACCCCTAGTTCATTTCCCAGAGTTAGGAGTCTTTATGTTCTGTCTCCCTTTCTGATATCTCCCACACATTTCTTCTCCCTTCCCTTATATTCCCTTTCACTATTATTTATATTCCCCAAATGAATGAGAACATACACTGTTTGTCCTTCTCCGATTGACTTACTTCACTCAGCATAATACCCTCCAGTTCCATCCACATTGAAGCAAACGGTGGGTATTTGTCGTTTCTAATGGCTGAGGAATATTCCATTGTCTACATAGACCACATCTTCTTTATCCATTCATCTTTCGATGGACACCGAGGCTCCTTCCACAGTTTGGCTACTGTGGACATTGCTGCTAGAAACATCGGGGTGCAGGTGGCCCGGAGTTTCATTGCATCTGAATCTTCGGGGTAAATCCCTAACAGTGCAATTGCTGGGTCATAGGGCAGGTCTATTTTTAACTCTTTGAGGAACCTCCACACAGTTTTCCAGAGGGGCTGCACCAGTTCACATTCCCACCAACAGTGTAAGAGGGTTCCCTTTTCTCCGCATCCTCTCCAACATTTGTTGTTTCCTGCCTTGTTAATGTTCCCCATTCTCACTGGTGTGAGGTGGTATCTCATTGTGGTTTTGATTTGTATTTCCCTGATGGCAAGTGATGCAGAGCATTTTCTCATGTGCATGTTGGCCATGTCTATGTCTTCCTCTGTGAGATTTCTCTTCATGTCTTTTGCCCATTTCATGATTGGATTGTTTGTTTCTTTGCTGTTGAGTTTAATAAGTTCTTTATAGATTTTGGAAACTAGCCCTTTATCTGATATGCAATTTGCAAATATCTTCTCCCATTCTGTAGCTTGTCTTTTAGTTTTGTGGACTGTATCCTTTGCTGTGCAAAAGCTTCTTATCTTGATGAAGTCCCAATAGTTCATTTTTGCTTTTGTTTCTTTTGCCTTCGTGGAGATATCTTGCAAGAAGTTACTGTGGCCGAGTTCAAAAAGGGTGTTGCCTGTGTTCTCCTCTAGGATTTGGATGGAGTCTTGTCTCACATTTAGATCTTTCATCCATTTTGAGTTTATCTTCCTGTATGGTGCAAGAGAGTGGTCGAGTTTCATTCTTCTGCATGTGGATGTCCAATTTTCCCAGCACCATTTATTGAAGAGACTGTCTTTCTTCCAGTGGATCGTCTTTCCTCCTTTGTCGAATATTAGTTGACCATAAAGTTCAGGGTCCACTTCTGGGTTCTCTATTCTGTTCCATTGAGCTATGTGTCTGTTTTTGTGCCAGTACCACACTGTCTTGATGACCACAGCTTTGTAGTACAACCTGAAATCTGGCATTGTGATGCCCCCAGATATGGTTTTCTTTTTTAAAATTCCCCTGGCTATTCGGGGTCTTTTCTGATTCCACACAAATCTTAAAATAATTTGTTCCAACTCTCTGAAGAAAGTCCATGGTATTTTGATAGGGATTGCATTAAACGTGTAAATTGCCCTGGGTAATATTGACATTTTCACAATATTAATTCTGCCAATCCATGAGCATGGAATATTTTTCCATCTCTTTGTGTCTTCCTCAATTTCTTTCAGAAGTGTTCTATAGTTTTTAGGGTATTGATCCTTTACCTCTTTGGTTAGGTTTATTCCTAGGTATCTTATGCTTTTGGGTGCAATTGTAAATGGGATTGACTCCTTAATTTCTCTTTCTTCAGTCTCATTGTTAGTGTATAGAAATGCCATTGATTTCTGGGCATTGATTTTTGTATCCTGCCACGCTGCCAAATTGCTGTATGAGTTCTAGCAATCTTGGGGTGGAGGCTTTTGGGTTTTCTATGTAGAGTACCATGTCATCGGCAAAGAGGGGGAGTTTGACTTCTTCTTTGCCAATTTGAATGCCTTTAATGTCTTTTTGTTGTCTGATTGCTGAGGCTAGGACTTCTAGGGCTATGCTGAATAGCAGTGGTGAGAGTGGACATCCCTGTCTTGTTCCTGATCTTAGGGGAAAGGCTCCCAGTGCTTCCCCATTGAGAATGATATTTGCTGTGGGCTTTTTGTAGATGGCTTTTAAGATGTCGAGGAAAGTTCCCTCTCTCCCTACACTCTGAAGAGTTTTGATCAGGAATGGATGCTGTATTTTGACAAATGCTTTCTCTGCATCTAATGAGAGGATCATATGGTTCGTGGTTTTTCTCTTGCTGATATGATGAATCACATTGATTGTTTTACGAGTGTTGAACAAGCCTGTGTCCCGGGGATAAATCCTACTTGGTCATGGTGAATAATTTTCTTAATGTGTTGTTGGATCCTATTGGCTAGTATCTTGTTGAGAATTTTTGCATCCATGTTCATCAGGGATATTGGTCTGTAATTCTCCTTTTTGGTGGGGTCTTTGTCTGGTTTTGGAATTAAGGTGATGCTGGCCTCATAGAACGAGTTTGGAAGTACTCCATCTCTTTCTATCTTTCCAAACAGCTTTAGTAGAATAGGTATGGTTTCTTCTTTAAACGTTTGATAAAATTCCCCTGGGAAGCCATCTGACCCTGGACTCTTGTGTCTTGGGAGGTTTTTGATGACTGCTTCAATTTCCTCCCTGGTTATGGGCCTATTCAGGTTTTCTATTTCTTCCTGTTCCATTTTTTGTAGTTTGTGGCTTTCCAGGAATGCGTCCATTTCTTCTAGATTGCCTAATTTATTGGCGTAGAGCTGTTCATAGTATGTTTTTAAAATCGTTTGTATTTCCTTGGTGTTGGTAGTGATCTCTCCTTTCTCATTCATGATTTTATTAATTTGAGTCTTCTCTCTCTTCTTTTTAATAAGGTTGGCTAATGGTTTATCTATCTTATTAATTCTTTCAAAGAACCAACTCCTGGTTCTGTTGATCTGTTCCACAGTTCTTCTGGTCTCGATTTCGTTGAGTTCTGCTCGAATCTTTGTTAACTCTCTTCTTCTGCTGGGCGTAGGGTCCATTTGCTGTTTTTTCTCTAGCTCCTTTATGTGTAAGGTTAGTTTTTGTATTTGAGTTCTTTCCAGTTTTTGAATGGATGCTTGTATTGCGATGTATTTCCCCCTCAGGACTGCTTTTGCTGCATCCCAAAGATTTCGAACGGTTGTATCTTCATTCTCATTAGTTTCCATGAATCTTTTTAATTCTTCCTTAATTTCCTGGTTGACCCTTTCATCTTTTAGCAGGATGGTCCTTCACCTCCATGTGTTTGAGGTCCTTCCAAACTTCTTGTTGTGATTTAGTTCTAATTTCAAGGCATTATGGTCTGAGAATATGCAGGGGACGATTCCAATCTTTTGGTATCGGTTCAGACCCGATTTGTGACCCAGTATGTGGTCTATTCTGGAGAAAGTTCCATGTGCACTTGAGAAGAATGTGTATTCAGTTGAGTTTGGATGTAAAGTTCTGTAGATATCTGTGAAATCCATCTGGTCCAGTGTATCATTTAAAGCTCTCGTTTCTTTGGAGATGTTGTGCTTAGAAGACCTATCGAGGGTAGAAAGAGCTAGATTGAAG